AAAAAATGAAAATGAGAAGTGAGATCCTTTGCCATGACTCATTGCCCAAACCTCCTGCAATACCCTCTGCTGCATCCTCAAAGCCAGGCACTCGCACAACATGCGCGACGAAAAAGCCTGTGGCCGCAAGCATCGCAATCCTGCCGTGCTTGAGCTCTGCCTCACGTAGACGGCGAAACCATCGCTCATCTTCGCTGATCTCTAGGCTACTTGGCTCAAATTCAGTGTTGACCCCGAAACCAAACCCAACTTGTCCTCGATCCTGAGAAAAGCCAATCCGCGGCACGATGCTACGTACTGGCTTCCACAACTCACTGGTGGCAATGCCCAGTGGATCAAACAGGCCAAAGCTTTTCTGGACACCAATCTGTTTCGACACGTCGAACGTCTCCGAAACTTCCTGGAGAACTGGAGCATCCTTCGTAAAGAGCTGCTTGTTTGAAGCTGCACGAGCCATCTTCGTACACGACTTATTCCTTCTAATGTTGGCCGAGAATAGGTAGCACACTTTGCAAAACCAAATTGCTGCTGGTGGTGCTAGCCACTTGACATCTCGCGGCTTCTGGCACGGACGAGGAAGATGTACTTCCGCGCGAGGCACCAGCTTGTGATGGCCAGTTCCACGAATCAGCAACATGGCACGGATGCACAAGGAGACCAAGCGAAGAAAGTTGAGAATGCCCTTAGAAATTCATGTTAGATCATTTTTGAGCCATCTGTATAGGTCCATCTAGCCCAGCTACCTGTGCAGGCAATGGTTGGAGCCTATTGTACGGTATGAAGGTTTGATCAGGTTTCCAACTCTACCGCCGCTGGGTTCAGCTCATGGCGGCTAAGGCACATGCTCACTGACATATATATGGCCTATGGCCCATGTGGCCCACGGCATGGATTGCCGGAAGTGAAGAAACTGAAGCCACTACCCCCACTGTTCTGAGCCAACTCTCATTCCAATTATACAATATTTTATAGCCGAGTCTGAGTTCTCGAAGCAAAAACAGGAAACAATTAGACAACATTTGGACAACGTAAAGAGGACAACAAAAGTGCAAAACTATGCAAAAGATTGCAAAACGCAAATTGCTGTCACTTTCCGCGGCAGTTCTCTAACGTCTCTGATGGATCGCAGAAATCACTGATGTCAAAGTCAAAGCCTCGGGTATTGCGGCTCCATTCTGTGTGAGCTCAACAAAAGCCAATTAGTCCAGTTGGTGCTGGTTGTTCCAGCACGTGAACTTGCACTGGTAAAGACATTGGTGGCCCACCTGAGGCACGTCCCCCAGCAATGGGATCAAAGCCCTCAGCCTGAAGTTGGTCGAGCCAAATAAGCACAACTCCATTTACAGTGGTTGGAAAACGAACTTTCGCCAGGTCCCGGAGGCCTTGCAGGGAACCATGTTGCACTGCACCAGGCGGGACCTCACGTGTCGTTCGCGTCTGGGGACGCTGACGAGACGTGTCGTTAACGGCATTTGGCACAAAGGACTCAAGAAGGGGCACCACTACTAGTAACAAGAAGCTACTACTAGCAGGGGCATCGCTACTAGTAACAAGGGCATTACTACTAGTAACA